TYMAARAAATTTGGATTCAATTATTGTCYGAAACAATGCTGCAATTTCGGAATAAATTRYTCAAACTGGATATACATATGYATAGCTGTCATACAAGYTRACCTATGAAAATCAAGTTSTTGTATGGAAAACTTTTTTATTTGACAAGCTATCTTCACAAAAGTTGGCACAAATTATTATCTTAAGCASCGCTAWAATTTACWAATAAATWGTCTACATCSGACAACTATAGCATATACATATGTAGCTGTAATACAAAAATCAARTACTTGTATGGAAAACTTTTTCATTTGACATGATATCTTCACSAAATTTGGCKTGAATTATAATACAAAACAATGCTAAAAYCTGCGAAAATACTGKGCAGATCGAACAACTATAGCATATAGCTGCCATACAAACTGAYCGAACAAATTCAWGTTACAGCTCTTTTTATACACTCAATATATAAGAAATATACTTCTGAAGGGTATTATAGCTTCGTTGCAACCGAAGTTAACATTTTTTGTTATAATTTTTAAAATAATATAAATACTCGCCAAACATCAATTAAAGCGCAGCTATTTCAAGCACTATTTCATTGTTTTGGGAATTCAGTACTCATATGACTGCTTGGTCTATCTGAACTCCATTTAATAAATATATACACATATGAATTTATACTTAACTTGAGGGTGTGCACTAAGGATTGTTAAGCTAAAATAATTCAAACGTTAATATGAAGGTTAAATGATAAACTCTTAACTGTGTTGATAACTCAAATAACATTGACATTGGTGCACTTGCAATAAACTCATGTATGTAAAAACGCAATATTCATATACTTACATAYATAAATGTACATACATATATGTGTGTAAATATCGTCTGACGATGTACACACACCTTGACAATGGCCGGTCAGTAGGACTCGAGCCGAAACAGTGTCAGCCAAATGTGTGATGCATAAAGAGAAACTTAAAAGTCATCACCTTAGGGATATGCAAATACACAAGTATGTATACAGACACACACTCAATACAACAAACTCATGCAGCTAATGGGTTGGTCGCAATTGCCGACGGTGCTTTGCATATCATATCATACTCATTTTTTGCAATATTAAAGGCGAGAAGCAAATTTGCATTTATATTAATAGTTACCGCGCATATAACATATGAATATTGCGTTTAATTAAAAGATATTATTTCGCCACTCTCTTGCAGTTGCCTTAATGAGTTGTTAATGATGTGAAATATCAGCGCAGCGAACAAATATTGCCACTATTAAAGGTTCAAGAGGTGGACAGAACATAATCTTGCAAACAAACAAACACACATACATATGTAGAGGAAGTGCGCAAATATTATTGTTATTACCACGGATCGTCTGTAGTGACCTGCCAACGCAACATATGCATCCATATCTGCACAACAACACGCCCATCACGTTGCTCCTCCCACAACCGTCTACAGCGCCCATTTAATGCTTACACAAACTGCCAACAACCAACAACATCAACACCACTAACAAAAATAACACACACTTACGCTACAAATAATTTTTTAAAGAATATCGGACGCCTCAGCGAAGTTGTCACTGATGAACGTATACATTTATTAGAATTGCTCGGGATCGTATATGGATCGTAGTAAGAATAATAGTTTAGAGTTTGGTAATAATACAACAGCGTCGGCGGCTGCTGCTACCGCAATGTCAGCTCCTTGGGCGAATAATAAGGAATCGTCAGCGCAGCCAAACGAGGATGATTCGCCGGAAGATGATGCTGATACCGCCACGCCCGCCAAAGTCACCGATCCGCTAGCGCCCAAGCTGGCCAATAATGAGGTGAGTTTTTAGTTATAAACATTAAAAATATGATTTATCAAAGACACAAGCTCTCTAAAAAATATGAGACTCACTTCTAGATTATTTGCGACCAGTTAGGTTAAGCTTCAAATATTCTGATTATATTATTACAATCATAAAATAACTTTTGGAGCATATTATTTATGTCGAAAAAAMCAGCACATTTTTGAAAACAAGAAAACGTTTTCATTAAACATAAAGAAAAATAAAATAAAAAGTTATCAATATTAAAAAAAAAAATATATATATATATAGTATATACATATATATAAAATTATAAATTTCAAAAATGAATGAAAAATTGGCATTTACCATACCCACRATTTCAACCMTCGTAACAATCTGAAACCAGATTGTTYCATTTAACCAAAAAGAAATAAATTCGCGGATGTTGAAAAAAAGTTACAGATTTAAAAAAAAATTTATGAAAATAATGAAGAAATTCGTTATATTTTACAATTTTTGTATAAAAAAGGCAAGAATGCCACGCAAGCCACCAATGAAGTTTGTGAAGTTTGTGAAGTTTGCGGAGATGATGCTATATCAGTTTGTGTAGCACAATAATGGTTCGCTCGCTTTCGTTCTGGAAATTTTGATTTACTTTGATGAAAGCTTTACACTAATGGAATAATGTCTCTAGCGGAAAAATGGCAAAAAGTGGTCGCCCAAATTGGTACATATTTGTTTATTTATGTATTAGTAAAAATATAAAAAATAATAATTGAAGTTTGATCAGAAATACGACAAACATTCGACTACCGTCTCAAAAAATTACCATGACAAGGATTTCAAACCTCTCCGCAATCTGAAATCCAAATAACACAAATCTGGAACTATGGAAAAGCTGGAACAAAATTTGCTTACGAAATGGCGACTGCCTAAAAAATAATTGTACTATTTTTTAACTGATTCCAATTTTCTTAAGTAGAAAAAATTTAAATTTGGGGTTATAGATAGATSCAGCCATAGAGGAGTCCATAAAGAAGGTTCTCTTTCAGGTAAATCGGACTAATGGAAGCTTAGAACCTGAAAAATCGTGAATATCTCACTGAAAAATTACAATTTCGGCCAAACCAGTTGCGATGCCAGAACAGCAAAACACCTACTACATAACACCGAAAATAGTTACAATTTTGAAAAATTCTTTTGTTGACATATTCTTGAGTACTTAAACTTCGAAAATAGTAAGAAAAATGATTTTTTGTATTTCTAGATAAGAATACCCATTAAAAACGCTACCACAGCTAATAACCGATTTATTCTTTCGAAATAAACTAATTTTTATGTAAAGCCACTAATGTTACTGTTGTTCTACATTCTCGCCCACAGCGCGTTCTGATCGTCTCCGTCACCGAACGCAACCGTGAAACGTGGAGTCAAAAGGCGGAGTTCCTATTGGCCGTTATTGGTTTTGCCGTCGATTTAGGTAATGTTTGGCGTTTTCCTTATATTTGCTATCAGAATGGTGGCGGTGCTTTCCTTATACCCTACTGTGTGATGTTAATATTCGGTGGCCTACCGCTCTTCTATATGGAAYTGGCTTTGGGGCAATTTCATCGTTGTGGTTGCTTAAGCATTTGGAAGCGCATTTGYCCGGCTTTAAAAGGTAAATTGAAACCAATTGAAAAAAAATATATATTTTTATAGAAATGCATATAAGCCTTTAGATATTTAATTTTAAGACATATAAAAAAGAGTCATTATACCATGAATATTCCAGGGCAATCAGAAATATGTATTTAAGCACTACTTTCCTTAAGTAGTTAGCAAACGATAGAAATATGCCTTGAGGGACTGAAACAAAGGCACGCATAAACAAAAACTTAACAACTTGTTGATTTTACAAACGTGATGCCTGCATATTTCTTACAAATCAAGCAAATTCCACAGGTGATTGTGTACTCGGCTTTGCCTTTTTCTTTTTGCATTTCTTCATTCTTCAGATATTTTACTTCATTGTCGTTACTGAAGTTACGTAACTTGTTGTAGGGACATTTTTAATCCCACTTGCATTGTCATCCATTTGACTTCAATTCAATATACCGATATGTCCTTAGTGGTTTTTTATCGCCGCTTATGAGGCTAATCAGTCACGTCCGCTTGTTTATCTCGTCTGCCGGAACGTGTCAGAAATTTTTTTATTCATACATACTACTATACATGGTATTGTATATATGTGTGTCAAAAATTCATTATTGAAAGCAGGTTCGGTGTTTAGATATATAAAAACAGGTAAAGAATTTTTTAAAACTAAAGAATAATTATATAGGTATTGAAAGATTAGATATTGAGATTGCAGAAATTTGAAATTTCAGGGAATGATACTTTTTCTAAACCTAAGTATTTCAGATGATCAGTGGCTATCTAACTATTCCTATATAGAAAGTTTTCAAGAAATAAGTCTTAAATGTGGTTGAGTATTTCAACCTAGGCCGCAACCTTCCAGCGTTTCTCCCGTACCTACTTCTCTGCATTTTCTGCAAGTATCGGCATTACTGACAACCAACTGGCTCATATGTGATKTCAGTAGGTTGTGATCTGYCAACCGTCCTGCAGTCATTTCGAGACCSTGTGATTAAAAYGAGCGCAAGTTTTCCYTCGGGCTCTTACATACGATCTTGACGATGATGCATATCCTTAGGGCATTCCATCTCGCCCTGATTCGTCTGTCAACCCTTACGTATCGTACATCATTTTTAATGACTTCTGTATGTCCTTCACTTGTTCGGTAGCCAGACGTATGGCACTTTTGTGAATCTCATTAAGYTATTAGGTTTCTCTGAATTCCTTTGTGGCCTGTATCCGCCGCTTTCCGGCAGCCACTACATCTTCTTCCTCCATGTTTCTGACGTAATACATTTTGAGATTATTATCTTAACTACTGCCTGGCTGTTGACGTATATATTTTTCCTTTTTATRTTGTTTCCTGATTTGTTAGCAATCTCAACCACTTTCTTTACCCCATAGACTTCCAACGCAGTATTTCGGAAGCTTAAAGTGCCGTGTGTGATCAGCTCCGAGCTWTAGCTTCCGGCTCGATCTTTTTGTATAGATGTTGTAAGTCCCGCTGATGTCTCTCATGCTTCTACAACATCTCCCTTCTTTTATTATCTCTCTCTTCTGCCAAATAAAGCGTGAGCGTATGTGGTCTAATTTACCACCAACCATTAATTCTCTACTTATTTAGCTATGCCCGAAAGTGGAGAATCTGGAGCCAATCTTTCAATCTTTCAGCTGATTATGCTGTAGAAATTTAAACTGCAAAATTGGTTTTTGGTAGGTTACATACCTACCTATTAGCTTTTTAGTGCAGCCGTTGGATTGGTTGTTTGAGCTCATATTATGCCGAGAGGAGCAAGTCATTTTATTCGCTCTAACAGTTTTTTGTATGAGATTTTGTTAACAGCGGTCCACCACACTAAAGCACCGGCACTCGGTCAGTCGGTCCTTAACTACGCCGCACCAATATGGTCGCCTGGATGCAGTAAAATGCAGCGAGGAAGATGACATGTCTTTGTCAGAACACTGCACTCCGGACTACAATAAAATATCTCCCATTAAACATCTGCACAATAAGGCCCGCATGCTCCCAGTTAAGGAGAACTCCTCTGCAAACATGTTCTGCTGGGKTGCCTTCGTAGAAATCATCCCTGCAGTCACCTGCTTGTAACGGAATCGCCTTCTAGAATCACAAACAGGTCCTTCTTCAACTACTTCGACGACAAAACAAGAAAACAAGACGTCGACCAGACTTCGGACGCAAAAAATTTCTGACATGCACTGAAAGCCTTTMACAGYGAAACCTTCACCGACTCTCTCTCAGAGTGAATGGCGTACTCCAAGTCAAACCACCACCCATCGCAGACGAAGAGCTCGAGTTGCCGCGAGAATCGAGAGTGACTGCACGTTTCCTTGGCCTATCTTTGGATGGCCTCGATGACACCTATTCGGAACCTTACTATCCTAACGGGCACTAGATAACCGTTACTACAACATCAATGCAAGAAACCAGGTGATAGGCCACATGTAGACGAGTATATGGAACCCGTCCTAAATATCCAAGAGCTTCACAATTTAAGGGGTTAGATGTTGATACTTAGACACCAAGTCGYTCTTAAAGTTCACAAAAAGGWTGACTTTCTGGATTATGAACATTTTAGCTACCGTTTGGCATTACTAAAGACCAGTAGGTTAATGTATGGGGTGACAACTGGCCCGTACAACCTATCGTAATATGCAATTAAATAGCTAATATACATTTATAATTTCTTTTATAGTATTTGCCAATCTACGAGTGCTAAACATTCGCAGTTTAATGAGTTACATATAATATGTATGTATGCAAATATAGTATATCTGCAATGTCATGCTATAACAAACACATTGCGATAATGTCATTTACAGACTCAAACAAATATAATACAAATATAATACAAACATATTTCGACGAATTTATGCTTTTAATCGCAAGTGTATTTCTTGCCAGTTTTTATTCCTCGTATCCCTTTTCAATTAAGCTTATGGGGGTAACATTTATTTGTCAAGTGTTGATATACATATATGGCACATAAATATATTCATACATAATACGTATATACATACTATGTATATTTCGATAATATTTGCAAACCTTCATATTTAYATATATGTATGTACATAMATATATATGCATTTATAATTTATATTTAGCTTTTGGGCAAATTTTTCACTTAACGCAAGTAAACATGATTATTGCCAATAAACAAATCTTATTGACAATAGCAACAAATTAATATTGATACTCGTTTTTTACGCCAGTTGCATATACATATA